TGGCTAATGCAATTATCCATTTTGTACCATATTGATACAGCCAATTTAACTTGTAAAGTATTATAAGGGATAATGATTTTATAAGATCTTATATTAAACATTGCAATGACACCTACCTAAATTCACCAATTGAAACACAGCTTGTGGAAAAATCCATAAAACCTTTTTTGGGGAGTTTGACAAATGTATAGAGCTGCACTTTTTACAAGCTTTTGACATAAGGTGGTACTGTTGATTATTTTTTTGGGGAATACGCAGAAAGGGTATCTTGTAAATTAACAAATGGAGCTAGGACTGCCCAGTTATAAGTTATAAGACCTATATAAGTTCTAGGTCTTGTAGTTCTAAACATGGCTTAATTTAATTAACATTTTTTAGTGATTTTTGGAAATCAGTGTTCCTTGATTACTAACACAAATTTGAAATTCTTGAGGTTAAGCACAATTTTTCTCCATTCTATTTCCCAAATACATACTAAAATTCACTTTTTCTTTAAGCCTTTTACAACTTACTACACATCTTTAATTTAGGCTTTACTAACTCTCATATTTTGGCATAACCAGACATTTTATTTTAAAGCAAAACTACTTTCATTTTTTCTCTTAAACAAAAAATACACAGAACTTATTACCAGTTATTTTACTTATTCTTTTGCACTTTATACCATGTTAAAACTTTAATTTTACTTTTAAGATGATATTTTGTTCAGCAGTTTGGATATACTAAATTATTTTATGTGTGTTTATTACCTCAAAATGCCCTAATTTGATAACTGTAATTTTAAATACTGTATAATCATGGGACGGTAAAAGTTTTATACTAAACATTCCTAGAAAATAAGCTGTTTGTTCATAGCAGATAGGAGACCTTAAGGGACCCCCACAGAGGGAGTGTAGCTTCCTGAGCTGGAGCTCACCTTGAGTCATTAAGGCAATTCCCAAGGACATACCAAATTTTTGCATTTCTGAACCCCTCCCTCTTGAGCCAGGCAGAAGGTTTTCAATAGAAAGAGCTTAGCCTCATCTGCATTGACTTCTCTCTGTGATTTACTTCCTGATAATTCTCAACAAAGACACAGAGAAGCCTGGCTAGGAGTCTCCAGACAAGAACTGCTGGACCCCTGTGTTAAACTTTGTGCTCTATC